CACGCCGCGGGGGCACAGCTCCTCGCCGTGACCAAGCTTTCGGGGTGCGCACGGAGCGGGCATCCAAGCTCTCCCGGTGCAACCCCGCCGAGGCCACCACCCCTGCTCCTGAGCCCTTCTGGGGCGACATTTGGGGTGACCCGCGTTCTCTCTCCCTGTGTTTCAGGTTGGTGTCAACAGTCCAAGCCACCATGGCAACGGTGTCGGGGATCACGGTTGTCCTTAACTGCAAGAACGTGGTGTACGACAGGTAATCCCGGCCACGAGCCTCGCTGGCCCGCGAGGAGCACGTGGAGGCCGTGCCCGGCCGGCTGGAGCATTTTATGCCAAAGGCTTGCCTGTACAAAGGGGAGAGGAAAACCAGTTTCATGTTCCTCTTTCCTCCGCTTCGGGTGAAGGGATGGGCAATGCGCTGGCCATAGACCCCCCAAAAGGCACTGGCTTGCTCAGCCCGGGGGCTGCTCTGCCAGCACGGAGGGGCTCGTCCTGAGGATGGGCTGTAACACGGGCCCAGAGAGGAGCGAAAAATAAAGACATCATCACTTCTAAAGGGGTAGGGAGTCCCCTTGCTGGAAGCTGAAATTCACTGAAACTCGTTGCTAACGAGTCAAGCAGACCTAGTGAGAACTGATTTTAGAGGTGCATCACCTTTTCCGTGCCAAATGGCTGCTGAAGGAGTCCAGAAATGAGAAAATCAGTATGGAGTTTGCCCTGAAGGAAAATCACATCGCCTTGTCCTCAGTGCTCTGAGACAAATTGCCCCAGAATTAGCTCTCGGCAGGAGTGATAGCGCAATCTGGGTCAGAAGACTTAAAAACAGAGCTATTATCTAGAATAGCAGAGAAAATTGTAGGAGGGAAGAATATAATTATGCTGAGCTGGAATTTGACCATCGCACCGGATTTTAGGGAGGGCTGCCCTCTCAGTCATTGCACACTTGCCTTTAATACAGATGTGAAATGTCCTACCTTGCCCTAGATGATGAGACCTCTCCAAATTGCTCAGTCCTGCTTAACCCAGGCAGTCTAATGAGTTACCTTTTTGCTCTAAAATCAAATATCTGCTGTATAGATAGGTCAGACGATAAACCCCAGACCCACACAGGCAGAAGGCGCTGCTGGCAGCCCCCCTCCTCCCCGGAGCTGTGCACTTGCCCGGGTGCTCTCAATGCCAGCAACTCCGTGCAAACATTTTGTGGTCGGGGACCTAGATTTTCTTTGAATCTGGAGGAAATACAGCCCAGTTCTCAGCGGGGAAGGTCTCGGAGAATGACAGCAAGACAGAGCGCCAGGAAGCATCACAAAGGTTGCAGTAAAATTTGCCAATTTATTTACACAGGCAGACAAATATTATATTGCTGGCACTGTAATTGCCGTCCAAAGCCCTGAGCAAGTTTTGCAAACACAATAGCCGGTCACTTCCCCTCCCTGCTTTACATCACTTACATCTTTCTATCCGAAATAGGAATGAATGCAACAAAATTTTTCTTGAGATGGCAGGAGAGCAAAAGCAGATTTATTTGGGTCCCAAGCTACATTTCTTTAAGCAGGAGTGTAGGGTGGTTTATGTTTTGTTTTTTTAATCAGTGTGATTTCACTCAGGACTTTTTAAGGAGCCCGGTCGCCCTGCAGAGCAGGGCTTGCTGCTGCCCGGATTATGCAACCAGGATTCCAACATGCTTTGGGAACAGGCAGCTGCCTGCAATTATTTCCCAACAGACAAACGTCTCATGGGGGTTTATTGCCTACATTAGATATTTTTGCACTTCACTCTTCAAAGTCCAGGCTGGGCATCTCTAATTAACTCTGAGGTCTCCAGATGCTTTCCAAACGCTCCCTGGATTAGGCAGCCAACCAAAGAGGTGTGGCAGGCAGGAGGGACCCAAGCTTGGGAGTTTTTCCCCTACCAAGCATCAGCACTGGGTGTCCCAGGGCGTAGGGGAGAAGATTACCTGCTGCAAAAGTGTCGGATTAGCGCTGGACCCCGAGCGGTGCCGTGCCCCCGGCCCGCAAGGCAAACAGCCGGCTCTAGGGCTAATCAAGATCCTACCATTAGCGCCGTGTTTGTGCTTGGCTGGGCCGAGCTTGGTGCCTGGCACGGCCAAGCGCGAAGCGGGAGCAGCGCCGAGGAGGCGTCCTCCGCGCGTACCAGGTACCTTTTCTCTGCTGAGCCAAATCAAGTTAAATTTCGGCACCTCTCAGCTTACCGTCCGCTTCAAAATCCGCTGCTTCCATTTCAGACCTAAAGACTCCCTTCCACCTTTTAGAGCATCGCGAGGTGCTGGGAGCCGTTGCGATGCCTCCGTGTGTGCTGCTCCTCCCCTAGGCACTGGCTGGCCGTAGAGTACATCTGGGTCCTCGTTCCCTACATGACCTACGACATTTACGTCATGTACCTCTGCCACTGGCACAAGAGCCGGGACAGGGGAATCGCGGAGAAGAAGCACTCGCTGGCCAGCGTGCGGAGCTTCCTCCTGCAGGAGCGGCTGATGGTGACCCACCACCTCTTCATCCTCGTCGTGCTCACCCCCATCACCCAGGTAAGGGCTGGGCACGGCCGCTGTGAAACCCAGCCCGCGAGCAGCCCCGGGTGGCTGCAAGGGCTTGCATTCGAGGCTGTGTCTGGCAAAGCATCGCTGCCGATCAGGAGCCCGTGGTCCCCTGGAGATGCCGGGTGTTGGCTCCCGGCCACCTCTTCAGGAGGGCCCCATGCTCACTCCTGGCTTTATTTGCAGCACTTCAGGGGAGAGCTGGGGGACTTCTTCGTGGGCTGCATCTTCATAGCGGAGCTGAGCACGCCTTTCGTATCACTGGGCAAAATCCTCATGCAGGTAGGTGAGGAGGGAACGGGGCTCGAGTCTGGGAACCCCACA